GTGGAGGGTTGTCCCATGCTCATTTGCATGCTGGCACAACTAAACTATGTGGAAAACACATGTAAGTAGGTGGGAGTATCAAGGCTAGTGGTGAGCGAAAATTGTACAAATTGAAGAAAGCTATTTTGTGAGAGGAGATAAGTATCTATTAGAAATATATTTTCAGTGTAGGAAAATATTAACATTTGACTGTTGATTATGCTATACATCATGTTATAGAAATAAATCTAGTAGACCTGCATCATGGTTAAATTTTTTGAATGTTTAACATTGTTAGGCCTATTTCTTTTAATAGATTATTCCAAGTGGTTATTGACAGTTAAAACATTTATACTTATCTCTATAATAAAACATGTTTAAGATTGTAGTTAAGTTTTAGTCATGGGTATGCCTTTATCTAACTCCCATGTCCATAGTATAGTTTAAAAAGGAGGAAGAGCCTTGCAAAGTTACAATAGAAGACAGCAGTTAACAGTTAAAATGGAAAAGACTGGCCATCAACAGATGTAATACAGCAGCAGTAGCTTTGCTTGGCCTTCCTGCTCCTTCTGATGATACTCAGGGAACAATTGACCCATCACTACCAATGTGTGATAGTGTATTCAAAAAACCCTGCTATTGCAAGTGCCAATGTGCATACTTGGATAAATATAGCTGATCTTGAAGCATACTTTCTGATAAAATTTCGTTAAGAAGTGAAAATTGGTTGTTGAAAAATAGATTTAGAGGAGTTTCAATTGATGAAATCATTGTATTAGACAATAGTGAGATTAAATGTATCATTGGTTTACTGTCTGGACATACACTTGAAATTTTATAGGAACTAATTTTACAATATTTACCAGACAAGACTATTCTCTCAAAGATCAAGCAGTTTCTATTAACATTAATGAGATTAAGTTTTAATGTTTCTATGCAGTACCTAGCCTATTTATTTGAGAGCATGTTTCAACAATCTCCAGAGTATTCAGCAATGTTATTAATATCATGTTTATTACATTTGTTACACTTATTGTTTAACCACAAAGAATAGAGAGAAACTCTTACAATTTTGTTTCAAAGAATTATTTTAAGTGACTTGAAAACTCATAGTGAAACATATTTCATCACTATCATAATTGTCAACAAACTCCAAAAGTACAGGCACAAAATTATTGTTTTCTGCCATGTTGTTACACATATATCACAAGACAAACACACACTAATCACTTCTTGCATTTGTTTTCACTCTGATGTGGTGGCATAAACATGACAGTCATGTGACTGAAAAATCTGTATTACTTGGGTTAAGGCAATGATTAAATCAAGTTTACGTCTGCCCACAATTTGTTTAAAATGAATGCTATCTAAATGCAATAACATCTGCATAAGCTGCTTGAAATTACTGGAATTCACCTGAAGAAAGATATATTTTTATTGTACTAATAGAAGTGTTAACTACTGACTGTTTTAAACTGCTGCATATCCCTCTTGATCTCGGGGCCTTTCAAAGTACACATTCTAAAAATGAACATTACAGGTGTGTAACTAACTCAGCTCTAGTCCATTTGCTTACATATATGTCACTGTAAAAGTTACACTTGATGTCAAAACAAAACTGTTTTGACATAAATGCTCTAACAACTAATAAAACTAAAAATGAAAAGAATATATATATATATATATA